TCCCGGGAGGCTCCGACTCGGGTGACAGCACCCTGGCCGCCGGACCCTGGGCGCCGGGGCGCCTAGGGGAGCAACCCGGACGCGCTAGGACTTCCCCAGGTCGGTGAAGGTGCGCCGGGCCCGGGTGGCAGGGCCCCGGGGGATGGTACAAGCGACCCTCTTGGGTCACTTGCAAGTCGCTTCTTAGCTCCTTGGCTCTCAGGATAACGCCCACCTACCTCTTTTGCAGTAGGAGGGTTGTTGTAAGCTTGGCTCTGCCAAACCTTTCGAAACCCGACCTTGCTCTACGGATTTATCCTCAGCATTGTTTAGAAAATGGAGTCTACCAGACGCCTTGTTACCATCAAAAGGAGCGGGGTCGACGGTCCCCACTTTCCCCTGAGCCTCCGAACCTGCTTGTTTGGAAGGTGAGCCCAGGGTCTCCGGGTGGACTTTTTAATCGAGAAGGTTGGGCATGACAGTACAACAGTTGGTTGCAGTACAAGAGGGTGGAAACTGCTGTAGGGTTAGGCCCTGTGCAATTTTTTGTTTGTTTCTTCCCCTATGGATTACCACCTAGAGTAATCGCTTTGGCTTGTCTGTTTGTTAGAATTTTGAGGCTCATGTTTGTATGGTTGTGTTGTTAGCCAATCAGTTTTGATACTGATTTGGTAAAAGTCTTGTGATGGAGAAAGCTGTAGATGATTTTAAACCTAATCGGCCTTAGGCAATGTTCAGAAGACCCTGTGTGCGCCTGCACCTCCCTTCCCTGGGCATCACTGGCTGCTTCGAACACTATGGGAGTGAAGGAAGGAAGCCACAGACTCAGCTCTTGTTTCTTTGTGGAAATGGGAAAATGGGAGGGAAAATCCTGCTTGTGTTTTGAAAGCATGACCCCGTTCTGTTGCCTTCCTGCTTGGTGATGGTGATAATCCTGCCCCCGCTCCAGCATAACAGGCAAAGTTACTAACAGTGTCCCCATCCACCTCTAACCTGTGTTCCTTGAGAGGTTTGAGAAGGGATCCTTCCCTGTAGGGCCTGGTTCCAGAGGCCTGTTCTAACCTCACCTCATCCTCCTAATATTGCCTTCCTTGTTCCAGCTTATAAGCTCTTGATAACCTTGGTACTTTTACGTAGTTGGACGCCTATGACTGGAAAGTTCTTCCTACCTTCAAACTTGTGTGATTCCTTTTCAATCATTCAAGTGTGTCTGATGATGTTTAAATGTTACCTCAAAGGAAGACTTTCATGGAAGTTTGTATTGCATCACAGCTTCAGAGATGAGTTGTGGGTGTGTTTCCCACTAGACTAAGCTTCCCAAGGGCAAAGACTGTCTTGTTAATAAACACATGTGCCGGATGAGGCCTGGTGGCTGGCATATTAGATGTCTCAAGACTTAGCATTCTGGCGAGTGTCCGATAGAAATATGGACTGGAGGTTTAGGTTTGCAATCGGAAGATAACATTGGTTCTCATGGGAGGGACATTTGATGTTCCAGGAATCGTTTGATAAGATCTGGAGACTTTTAACAGCACACTAGTGGAGGGGCGTGCCGTGGTCATCACTGAGTAGAGGTCAGGGACGCTGCTAAGTGTGCAGGGTAGCCCCCTGCAAGACAGAAATCTGGTCTAAAATGTCAGCAGCACCGATGCTAAGAAATATTTATCTATCACCAGCCTCCTGCCAAACAAATTCTTGGTTCTAAGGAGATAGTCTCTCCCTTGTTGGGATGTTCTGGTGCCTTAAAATCAAATTATCTTCTTGGGTTTAAAGAAACTCTTCACTTTCCGTAGCTGCTTTTCTCTTCAAAAGGAAAAAAAAACACATTTCATCTAAAATGGCAGTCCTTTTGCTTTTTATACAGTAGTACTTGAGTATAGTTTTATATGCAAGATTAGATAATTATAGAAACTAATATATAAGTCTTTGGTTACATAACTTGGGTTAGGAAGAGATATTCTTAGACTCCAAAGTTTCAGGAAGGCCATTGCATAGTTTGTTCGAAATTTTTAAGATCATAGGATAGAAAAATTCTCCCCAGATTCACGGAACTCCAGTGACTGCAGGAACCAACAATGAAATCTTCTGATTGTTCATTATGTGTAAGTTTAGGTAGGTCTCTTTTGCTGCTTTGCCATGTGTTAGTTTTTTGTGGAAAGACAAGTTGATTCTAGGTATTGTTTTTTTGCTGCTTCAAATGAGTACCTTTAATGTTGGAGACTTTTAAATCTGTCAGCTAGTACTGTATAGTTTTTAAAATAGTGAAAATCCTTCTATATTGATATTTACCATGCGCTAGACAAATGAGTGACATGTAGAACTCATTTGATTTCTGAACAACAACATGATGTGAGTACTAATATAATCTCTTTTATACTTGAAGATACTAAGGCACAGAGAGATCTAGCCTAAAATATAGCACATTAAACATATGTAACATTACAAACATATGTAACATATGTAACATTACATATATAACATTACAGACATAAACTTTTTTTTAGCACAGAGTATTAAAAATAGTCATTCTACAGAATTGATATAAGTACTCTTTTATTTGTCTTTTAAGTATAGCTGTTTATATAAAAGGTAATTCAACTTGTATTCTAGTATTTTCTATTATAATTATTTTTATACATTTTTATATTTTAGGGTCTTAAAGCTCTAAAATCGTTGCATATGCAATACTTTCAAAAATCATTTGCAGAATGTGGAGATCATTTACACTGCCATATTGTTTTGTTACTCCTTTATGAAATTACATTTACAGGTCAAATATACTAGTCAAAACTAGTCAAGTTCTGTGTTGTTTTAAGGAACTTAGGTAATTTTTGAGAATTTACAACAATAAAAAAAATTGAATTCTTTTGCATGAAGGGGTATGGAATGTGACATTCGCATCCAGCTTCCTGTAGTGTCGAAACAACATTGCAAAATTGAGATTGATCAGCAAGAGGTAAATGGTTTTTTGGAAGTTGATTTTTAAAGCCTTTTAGTTCACTTTTAATCTATTCATTAGTCACATATTTTCTCTCTCTCTTTATTTGTAGGCCATATTATATAATTACAGTTCCGCAAATCCAACACAAGTAAATGGGTTTGCTATTGATGAGCCTGTAAAGCTAGAACATGGAGATTTAATAACTATTATCGATCGATCTTTCCGGTAGGTAAAAATGAACTGGGCTAACAATAAATGACCTCTTTTGATTACCCATAAACTAGTATCACAGTTCAGCTGTGATCTTGCCTTATTGTTCATGAAACTCCTGTCAAAGTGTTTCGGGTATTCGATCTCAACACTAATCCTGATTTAAAATCATATGGATCTGGGAGCGTGACATATGGAGTGCAAATGTGATAGGATTCAAGGATTTGAGTGCGGAAGAAGGGTCATCTTGTCCTAAGGGAGTTGTTTATTTTCTTGGGTGTGTTTAGTTTCTTTTTTATCTTAATGCAAAGTACACTCCTAGAGAAGGATACAAAGCAAGATATACAAGGTCAACTTATGATGTGAATACCCTTGTGGCTACTACTTGTTGTGAACTGAGTTGTGCTCTCCCAAAATTCGTGTTTGAATCCCTAACCTCCAGTGCCTTAGAATATACCTGTATGTAAAGAGGCAGTGAAGTTAAATTGAGGCCGTTAATGTGCCAATGACTGGTGTCATAATCAGAGATGAGGACACAGTGAGAGATACCAGGGGAGCAGGTGCACAGACGAAAAACCATGTGAAGAGGTGACGAGAGTGTTCTCTTGGCCAGCTACAAGCCAAGAAGAGAGGAATGAAGTGCTACCAACGGCTTGATCTTAACTTTCAGCCTCCAGAACTGTGAGAAGTAAATTTCTGTTTTTTTAAGGCACTCAATCTGTGGTATCTTATTATAGTAGCCCTAGCAATCTAATACACCCCCCCCCAACTTACAAAGAGCATTTCCAGGTTTTATTTTATGCTGTCTTCTAATCATCACTTCTTTCCCTCCCCAAATAAGCCACCGTGATGACTTTTGTGATCTCATATAAGTCTCTGGAGTTTCACTACCTAAGCATGGATCTCTAAACACTATCGTATTATCTATTTTTGTGAGACTCCTTAACAGTGAAATTGTAATGTATACATTTGTGTCTGAATTGTGCATGAAATTCACAGCATGTTGAATGTCTTTCTCATTTGCCCGTCTCACCGAATAGGTATTTATTTGAATAAAATATGTATAATATACACAATAATATTCATAGTAGCACAATTTTTTCATTCTGGTGGACGTTGACTACTTTCGTTTTTGAAACATGTCAAGGCATGCTTTATGATCACATATGGTTTGTTGTTAACTAATCTGCCCATGTAATTGAAAACAATGTGTATCCTAAAGCTGTCAGATATAGTGTTCTATATACATATGCCCATTAAATTCAAACATTCTATATTTTATAATTTTTTCCCCAGCTTAGTAGTTACTCTAAGAGATATGTTGTAATCACCCACTAAGGATTTGTTTATTTTCTCTTAGCAGTTTTTGCTTTGTACATCTTGGGGCTATGTCATGGCATACAAATTTAGAATTCTGTGCTCCTGGTGCATAAAACTCTTTGTCATGTAGAATTGTCCTTTATTTTTATCTATGCTTTCTGCTTTAATGTTTCCTTTGGATGATAGATATAGCTAAGCTAATTTCCTTTTGATCAGTGCTTGCGTGGGATATAACTTTTTCTATTCCCTTAATTTTAATTCTTATGGTTTAAAATGTCTCTTGGAACTTGCTTTCAGATGAGTGTTTGTTTTTAATTGGAATATCTTCTTGACAGACTGACCTACATAGCATTATAAAATGTCTCTTGTCTCTATGAGCTATTTTTGTCTGACACGGTTTTGTCTAATGTGAGTATAACCACTCTCGTTACCCTCTGGTTGCTGTTTGCGTGGTGTGTCTTTTCCCATGCTTTATTTAAAACTATTTGCATCTTTGAGTCTGAACTTTGTCTCTTGTAGGCAGCATATAGTTGGGTCATTTTTATTTATTTATTTTATTGTTTATCTTTTTGAGTCGGGCTCTCACTCTGTTGCCCAGGCTGGAGTGCCGTGGCACGGGCACAGCTCACTGCAGCCTTCATCTCCTGAGCTCGAGTGATCCTTCTGCCTCAGCCTCCTAAGTAGTTGGGACTACCGTGTGCACTACCATGCCCAGCTAACTTTTTTTTTTTTTTTTTGTAGAGATAGTGTCTTGCTACGTTGCCCAGGCTGGTCTCGAACTCTGGGCTCAGGCAGACCTCTTGTCTCAGCCTCCCAAAGTGTTGGGATTACGGGCATGAGCTATCGCACCCAGCCTGGATCATTTTTAAAATTCATTCTGCTAAATGGGTCTCTACCTCCATTCGTATTCAATAGGTTATTTTTTTATGTACCTACAGTCCCTGGTAGTTTTGTTTACTGTGCTTCGTGGAGGTTTGCCTTCATTTTATTTTTATTTTTTTGAGTCAGGGTCTCACCCTCCGGGTCAGGGTAGTGTGCAGTGGCATGATCATGGCTCACCACAGCCTCAAACTCCCGGGCTCAAGCTGTCCTTCCCTCTCAATTTCCCAAGGCGCTGGGACGATAGTCATATGCCACTATGGCCAGCTAATTAAAAAAAATTTTTTTATGGAGACAAGTTCTTGCTGTGTTGCCCAGGCTGGTCTTGAACTCTTGGGCTCAAGCAGTCCTCCAGCCTCAGCCTCCCAAAGTGCTGGGATTACAGGTGTCAGCCACTGTGTCTGGTCTGCCTTCATTTTTAAAAAGTATTTTTAGGGAGTATAGACTTCTAGGTGCAGGGAGTTTTTGGAGAGCTGAACTATTTCCCCAAAACAAGATACTATCCAGATTGAGATACATTGAGATGATCTAAGATCTCTAACAAAGATTAGAAAGTGGATTTTAGGAAGAAGGACTTGATTCAGAACTGCTACCACGAGAAACAATTTCAGATGTCTGACTGCTTCAAATGTGATTCAGGTTGTAAATTCAAATCAGGTAATTTCACTGGTTGAAAAGTTTTTAATATGGAAAGTAAAGGATTGCTTCTATGGAATTGGTGACTGAGGTCTGCTGGAGCAATTGTGCATCTTGTTAAATGTCTTTTTAAGATGTGTTTGTCTTGTTCAGACACAGATTAAGTGGGAAACTGCAGTGATGCTAGTGTTCTAAAATATAGCTTTGGCAATTACCCTGTAGTGAAAGTGTAACTTTGTGTTTATCCTGAAGTATATAACTTCACAATATGATAAAAATGCAGTTGCCTTCAGGCCTCCTGGTTGACCTTCTAAGCCATCAGATAACTTCCATGAACGTAAAATAGAGGAAACCTGATTTTACTCTCAGGTGCATTAGTTTTGCATATAGAAGGTGCTCAGGGATATTGTTAAATCATACCAGAGCTAGTCAGTGATCAGAAGTTAATATGAGACTCCAACCTTCAACAATAGCATTTCCAAACAAATTTGATGCAATCAAGGTAAATTTTAGGGTAAAAACACTTTTCTAGCTATAAGTTTATTTCTTTGTATAAGGTAATATCTCATACAAAAACCAAAGTTTGCTCCTTGATCCTTGGGCATTAGCAGATGTGGAGATTTCAGTCACAGGGTATGAATCTTTAATTTGTATCCGTGTTGTCTGTTCTTCTGTGCACTCCAGGTATGAAAATGAAAGTCTTCAGAATGGAAGCAAGTCAGCTGAATTTCCAGGAAAAATATGTGAACAGGTAATGGTAAGTTCTATTCAAGTGGGCTCTGGTTCTTTTTTTATGATATGAAATCATTTTTATGTCCTTTGATGTATGATTTCTCTCTTAAAATCAGCGATAAAGGAGGCTGGTACTGGTTACAACAGGAAAAAGTAACTGAAGTATTAAAACAAGTTGAACTTAGACATTTAAAAATAACCTCAAACTGTATTTCCTCTTTGCTGTTCAAAATGAGATTGCTTCATTGGCCCTATGCTTTTGACCAAAAAGTCTACTAGAGTATGTCGTGATCTTATCTTCTTGCAAACCTGTGGTCTGACAACTCTAACACATGGAAATGAAATTCAGGCATTGCATTATCCGGTGGCTCATTTTTTCTCCCAGTCATGGTGCTCATCCATCTTTATGTGTTTGAAATAATCACCTGAAAATTGTGAGAGCCAAAGATGCTTCCCAACTTTGATGGATGTTGACTTATGAGACTAAAAGAGAATTTCTATGCTTTGTCACGTGAGAGAAGCCTTATACCTTGAGGGCAGAACGGTATTCCAATTTAAAACACAATTTTATTTACAGGCTTAGAAATCTAGTGGGATTTAGTAGGTTTAGGACAAATCCTGAGAATTCTATCTTTCTTACTTTTTAGGAAGCTCCTCAAGCTAGTTTCATACGAGCTCGTTGGAATTCTTTGGCTTAGGAGGATTATTCTAGGTATACCTGAAATTTACAATAGGCACATGAATTTCCACATCTTTGCCATGTTAGGCTTTGCCTCTTCCCTAGAGGAACAGCCTTAATGTTGAGCTTGGTGGTCTTCCCTTCCTGTGCTGGAAGCCAGTTCTGAGATATCTTGTATACAGCCACAATGCAACTTGTCAGTAGGTGGAACTAAATAAACCAGAAAGCTAGTTGAAGTATGGATTAGATATATGCCACTCACCAGTCTACGAACTATTTGTTTTATTACTGCTCCATGATAGAAAAGTATTAAAATTGAGTATGTAGGAAATGTTATAGCATTTGCAGGAATTTTATGGCTATTGCATATGATTATACTAAAAATGGGATTATATATTATAAGTATTTTTAATTTTATTAGTAGTTCATTTATATCATTTAGTCAGATTCTTATTGCACTCAAGATTGGAAATAAAAAATTCATCCCTCACATAGGTCATTTTAGAAGCAAGGTGTTAGATAGGAAGACATTTGAAACTAGCTATGAAGATAAATTCTTTGTTTCTCGTAATTTTTTTGGACTTTTTTCTTAATCCAGAGGATAAACTTTTTTGCCTTTGGAATATCAGAATTTTATGTCTGGCATATGTGTAATTCTTTAGAGTTTGCAACTCTCCAAAAAAGTTGCACATTAAGAAAGTGCAGGTATTATTTATGGGAGAAGTCAAGTGGGCTACACAGTCTGACCCCAGGCTCTGAGTTTCAGCGTCTGTGGATGCACTGTGTGCTTGTGCCTGAACTTCTAGGTTCTCAGACAGTACCCTAAGTATCTACCCCTGGCGGGGGGGAACACATGCTAAGTGGAGTCTCACTTAACTGACAGGCCCTGTGGCTCATTTCTGAGAAAAACTGATAAATAGTCCTGTGCCTGTGGGGAGTTATAGACCTTCCGTGTAGGTGATTGTGATATTGTGTTGGTTCTTCTTGCTGTATGATATCGGTAAATAACTTCCTTTAAAGTTATAGAAACTTACAAAGGTCTGATTTCAATAATTTTAAGCATGGAGTTTGTCTCCTATTATGACACTGTGTTTTTTTTAAAGTCAGCTAAGAAGTATTTGTATCATGACCCCCTAGCTCCCAAATGACTCGGGCTGGTGTCTCAAAGTTCACACAGGCGCTGTTTGGTAAAGAAAGCAATAAGCATATTTTCGTTGTTGTGACTATCAGTATTTAGGAAGATATTTAAGTCACTGTTCTTATTTTCCCAATTTTCAGGAACCATCGCATCGTGTCTCAAGATCCAGCTTCTCTTCTGACCCTGGTGAGCAGTGGTTTGATTTTGTTCTGGGATCCTGAAAGATCGGGTCTTTGTGAAGCATGATGGCAAAAGAGGGATAAGAAGAATGCGAGTATTAAATATCTAGTCTGTCAGAAGTCTATGAGGTGTTACTTAACATGTCAACAATAGGTAGATTCCTGAGTGACTTACAGTGCTTAAGGGAGAGTCCAGGTATAAGAACACTGCTTGTTCAGTTGTCAACTCAATTCTCAGTAGTTTGATGGCATATGCTATTTCATATTGCTTGTTGGAGCTAATGAGATTTATTTATCTGTATTGTAATACTAGTATCATACGATTTACAAGTTCTAGGCCTTAAATAATTTGTAGACTAAATGGGAAGCTAAGTTGTAAGACAATTTGAAACAATTAAAATATTGAATTCCACAAATGTTAATCATTGAGAAAATGCTGAACTTCTGTTTCTTATTTCATAATTCATTGCCAAGATGGGAAAGATCAAGATTCCAATGCCCATCCCAAAATCACTGAAGGAAATGTTTCGGGAAGACCTCGGGTACATGTCAAGAGTGTCAAAGGAGACAGTACTACCTCAGATGGCTCAGAAGACAATGTTGCCCAGGAAACATCTAATATTGTTCATTCCTCAGAGCATCCTGGACATAACGGTAGAAATACCAGTGATCCCACTTCTGGAAATTGTAAAGAAAATTTCAGGGCAAAATTAATGAGCTGTTATGAAGAAGGGAAGTCTGTTTCCTCTACACAATGTCTTGACAATAGCAAAAAAAATGAATCTCCCTTTAGGAAGCTTTATCAGTCAATGAAGAAAGAGTTGGATGTAAAATCACAAAAAGGAAATATTCTACAGTATGGTAGAAAATCAGGATCACAAACTGATTATATAGCAGAAAAGAAAAGTGCTGATGACTTACAGAAGGAGACTCAACTACTGATCTCACGTAAATCAAGACCAAGATCTGGTAGAAGCATCCCCATGAGGGCAGACCCTGCTTCACCTGATCAAAAGCCCTCCCAGAGTGAGAGGAAGGAAAGAGATGTGGAGTTTGCTCAGACTTCTAAAGAAGCCATGAGCTCTGGCCTTCTCTGGGAGACTCCTAAAATGAAGACCCCAGTACAGTATTCACGACTGCAGAATTCTTCACAAAAACGTAAGAATGAAGACCTGTGGATTATGGGTGGAAGAGAATCTGTGAATCTGGGAAAAAGTGAAGGTTTCAAGACAGACGAGAAAACACATACACCCAGGAAGTTATTAACCAGAACTCAAACACGAGCACCAACACCAACTAAAGCTGAAGATGCCGCCAACTCTTCCAATAAGCCAGAAAGTCTGTCTTTCAAAAACAGGAGGAGTATTGCTACAGAGGTGGAAGTCCAGCCTACAGAAGCAGAAATTCAAAATGAGCCTTTTTTAACTCTGTGGCTTACTGAAGTTGACAGGAAGATTCAGAAGAATTCCCTCCACAAGCCTGAGAAATTGGGCACTACAGCTGGAGAGATTGGCTCTGGGTTACCTGGTCTTAGTTCAGTTGATATCAGCAACTTTGATGATTCCCTTAGTAAGTTTATTTAACTGTAAATTTATTTTTTCTAAAAGAGTAACACGTTTTATATGATATAATATAAATCAATGTCACCTTCATTCAGTCACTCTTGATTAAGTGGTGGAAAAAATCTTAAGTACTTATGGACGGTGACAGAACAGGCATTTTTCATTTTAGCTGATGGAGAACACAGAAGACCTGGATAATTTGAACAAGGAATGGTGGAGGAGGTGCAGGTTGTCAGGAAAGCATGTAGCAGGGGCTATTGAAGGAGATAGGGTGGTCCAGTGTTTTTGGATCACCCTATCGATCACAAAATAGGAAAGTGTAATTGTGATTGCTTCTCATATGGGGTTTAATTCTGAACTACAAATACGTGAGTTTGGGAATTTGGAATCAATCACTGGACATCGAAAAGAGTGGTAGTGCTCTTGTACTTACACTCTGTTCTCAGAGTCTGCTACAAAAAATTTGTTATAAACACTAGATGATACCCATGGGTTTATACGCCAGGCAGATTTCTCCATACTTCACAGGCATTAACATTTTTGGTCCTCAGTGGTGTCGGAATGCTCATGGGTAGCTTTTCTTTCTATCTCTCTGTCACAAATGTGGAAACTGACAACCCAAGGCCATAGAATAAGTGGCCGAGATGTAACCTTTATAGCAGGTGCAGTAGTTCCTTGGCATCTTCCTACACTTTTCAGGGTTGGCTTATAAGAAGGAAAGTTGTCTAGGCATTCTGATGCAGTCATCTGAATGTCAAGGCTCTATTTCTGCAGATGGCTCGTGGCAGTCGGGGTATCTCAACGGGGATGCATCACTTAGACAAGGGATTTACATTGACTAGTGGTTCAGAAAGATCTATATTGGGGTCTGGGTCACATGAATTGACTGCGGGAATTACCTGGATACGTTTTCACAGCTCATAGAATCTGTTCTCTAGTTAGGTCTGGGTGAAGCACCAGTGTATGCATTTCTAGAAAGTTGTCTCGATTTGTTTCCTCCAAAGTGAAAGCTACTGCTGCATACTGATCACTTTCTTAAGCTTTGTCTGTTTGTAATTTGCCAGCATTTTAAGGGAAACCTGTACTGTCCCACTGGAATGTGATGTCGTAGTGTTTTCTCCTGAGATCTGTCAAAAACTCATGAAGCAGCTTCAGCTTCATCGGTATTGCAAGAGAATGAAGGTGCACTGTAGATGTTAGGTTTCCATGAGTTGTCAGTTGGTTAGTCTTTAAAAATACTAATTGGAAATCAATGAGAAGTCTTGGTATGGTTTATTTCATGGCTCTTTCCACATTTATATTCATTGCTTTAGATAAGAGTGAGGGGCTGCCTTTGAAAAGAAGGCGTGTGTCCTTTGGTGGGCATCTGAGACCTGAATTGTTTGATGAAAACTTACCTCCTAACACACCTCTCAAAAGAGGAGAAACACCAACAAAAAGAAAGTCTCTGGTCACTCACACGCCAACTGTCCTGAAGAAAATCATCAAGGTGAGTGTAGCCATCCACAGCGAATGGCGTCCACTTGTGCTACAGACTCCTTCCCAAATTCTGACACAAGCAGAATCATAACTAAGACCTTTAGGTTTTAAATAAATAGGCTTTAAAAAGACTAAATGAAACCCATTTACTTGAGCACTGAAATACAATCATCCGGGTCTCTACCCACAGTTCTAATGTGGCCAAGCAGGGAGAGACCTCAGCCCTATTTTTTTTTTTTTTAAATGTAGAAGGTTCCTGACATTCATTCACGTTTACAGCACCACATAATCCCCCTGTGGTTAAAGTAAAAACGATTAAACAATTTAATACAATTAAAAAGATTCTGGAGACATCACCGCATATAACCATAGGGTTGTTTTATTTTCTTTTAGAATGATAAGGCTGTGGTTAAGGCATTTAAATGGTGTGAAGGAAAATCGTTGACGGTTTTTTACATAATCAGCTTTGTAGAATGTTTAATCAATCATCTGTTCTTATGCTGTGTTGTCTTATCTTGTTTTCAGACCTCTAGAAATATATGGCCCCATAGTACACCTTAGTACATAATAAGGCCTGGGCAGTCTCTATTGACCTCTAGAAATATATGGCCCCATAGTACACCTTTGTCATAAGGCCTGGGCAGTCTCTATTTTCTTTTACCAGCAGGAGTAGAAAGCAATGCCTCCTTCCCTCTCTGTTTTACGCTGGCTCCCAGAGGACAGCAGTCCATCTTTTGTGTGCACCACAGGAAGCTGGGCGCCCACAGCTGCTGTTTGATGGGACAAATCACAGCATGTTTGTCTTGCACAGATTGGGATGTTCCTTCCCTCTTGCACCTGAAGCAACTCAGTTCAGACTTGTGTGCTTTTGTTTACTTTTTTCCTTAAATGCCTTCGAACGACAGCGGTTCCAACGATTGGTATTTCAAGATTTAAACAGCTGAAATTCTTCAGTGAATAGGTTTTTGCCAGTGATCAGAAAGATGTTAGGTCCTGGGTAAGTTTTCCTGTGAATTTCTGTCTTGTCAGGAGCAGCCTCAACCCTCAGGAAAAGAAGAGTCTGCTTCAGAGATTCATTTGGAAATGACGGCACACGACGTGGTTATGAGCTCTCTAGTTCCTAGTCCTGGGAAAACTCCAGTTGCAAATGATCAAAGCCGTAGGTCGTGCAAAGCTGCCTCTGCTTCCAGCGGTCGCAAATCTCCTCAGGCAGACACTCCTAGGCGAGGTGGCAGAAAGAGTGGCAATCTGCCTTCGAAGAGGACGTCCATCAGTCGAAGCCAACACGATATTTTACAGATGATTTGTTCCAAAAGAAGAAGCGGTGCTTCTGAAGCCAACCTCATTGGTTAGTATGGTATCAGCAAATATAGGCGAAGTGGCAGGTTCAAGACCCGCCTGGGCAACTTGGCCAGACTTCATCTCTATAATCAATCAAAAAATTAGCCGGGTGCGGTAGCGCGTGCCTGTAGTTCCAGCTCCTCGGAAGGCTGAGGAGGAAGGATCGCCGGAGCCCAGCAGGTCGAGGCTGCGGTGGCCGGGAGCGGCCACTGCCCTCCAGTCTGGGCGACAGAGTGAGACTCCAACTCAGACAAAATATTTATATATATGCGAAGGGGAATTGTATCTCATTAATGCTAATTTTCGAAAGGCTTCATCATCTTTTCCCTTTTACAGTTGCCAAATCGTGGGCAGATGTCGTCAAACTTGGTGCGAAACAAACACAGACTAAAGTTGTAAAACACAGCCCTCAAAGGCTGATAAACAAAAGACAAAGAAGACCTAATACGCCAAAGGTAAAAAGTGCCTCCGTGAATGGCAGGTTTACATGGACTGATATTGTTTAAGGTTGCATTAGGTGTATCTGTGCTTTGATGCTTTGTTCATCTCCTTCCTTTTTTTTTGGCAGAAGCCTATGGGCAGTGTTCACAATCAATTCAGTACTGGCCACGCCAATTCTCCTTGTACCATCATAGTAGGGAAAGCTCATATTGAAAAAGTCAACTTGCCTGCCCGACCCTACAGAATGCTGAACAACTTTGTTTCCAAACATAAGGTGGACTTTAAGGAAGATCTTTCAGGTAAAAACACAGCTTTGGCTCTTAAAAGTCATCAACCTTTGATCCTATGATTTTTGACTGTTGATGTTTGTTTTTCTCTCTTTACTGTGACTAGCATTACAGAATAAACAACTGAGTTCACTTTCTGAGATCATAGTGTTTAAGGAAGAGAAAGCGGCTTTGCGTTACAAAGGCAGGTCTCTGACCATTGGGGGGATCGTGCATCTTACAAGAAGTAGATATGGAAATGTCAAACGCATATCTTTAATCTGAAGAGAACTGTGCATATAGAAAACTGGAAAGTGCTTTATAGTGAAGAAAGGCAACTTGTTCTTAGAATTGCTCCCTTCCTGAAGCTATATTAATAGTTTATTCCAGAGGCAGGTCAGCAGTTTTTGAGCAATATTTTTGTTTCTTCGAGATTTACTTTCTTTCTAGGTAGCTTGTTTCTTGAAATAAAGCCCCCTAAGAAGTTTCCTTTAAACAGGTAATAGTTGAGCAAAAGTTTCCACTCAATTCCCACTCTCAGTAAAAGTGTGGCCTGAGTTACATAGTGTTATAGCAGATAGGAATGATGATATGAGAGCAGAATTTAAGTTTCATGTTGTATAACTTGTCCAGGGGCTTCCACTGTCAATAATTTGGGAAGGCAGTGAGATTTGAACTGAATAGGTAGAATCTTATTTTTATATTTCCTGGCATATTATGATTTAGAAGTGTTGTAGGCTGGGCTTGGTAGTTCAACCTATAATCCCAGCAATTTGGGAGGCCGTGGGTTTGAGACCAGCCCAGGCAACTTAGTGAGATTTTTTTTCTACAATAAGTAAAAATAAAATTAGCCTGGTGTGGTAGTGTGCACCTGTAGTTCTGGCTACGTGGAAGACTGAGGCAGAAGGATCGCCAGAGCTCAGCAAGTTGACGCTGGGTGACCATTAGCATGCCACTGCACTTTAATCTGGGCGATGGAATGAGACTCCAATTCAAAAAAAAAAAAAGAGAAATGTTGTACTTCTCAGTATAATACATGCAAGGTACTCTCTAATTATAGTCATATTTGGGTCAATATATTTATATTTTTAAAGCCCAGCAAGGCCAGACATAGTGACTCATGCTTCTAATGCCACCTTTTTGGAAGACTGAGGTGGGAGAATTGCGTGAGGCTTGAACCCAGGAGTTCAAAACGAACCTGGGAAACATAGCTAGATCTTGCCTCTACAAAATATTAGCCGGGCTTGGTGGGGCACATCTGTAGTCCCAGCTACCCGGGGGTTTGAAACAGGAGGATCACCTGAGCCCAGGAAGTTGAGGCTGCAGTGATCGTGCAACTGCATTCCAGCTGCATTCCAGCCTGGGTGTCTCAAAAAAAAAAAGTAGACATGTAAATATGACTGTGCTTACAAATTATGAACATGTACAAATGCACTAATATGTGTATATGTTACGAAATGTTAAAAAGCCCTCCAAAATGCTTTTTAGAAAAAATGTCTAAATAATTAGTGCTTGGGACAGTGGTTTCTCTTAATGATTGATTGAGTTAGTCTCACTCTGTCACCCAGACTGGAGTGCAGTGGCATGATCACAGCTCACCGTAGCCTTGACCTCCTGGGCTCAGGTGATTCTTTCACCTCAGCCTCCCAAGTAGCTGGGACTACAAGCATGCGCCAACATGCCCAGCTAATTTTTAGGTTTTTTTTTTGTAGAGCTGAAGTCTCACCATGTTGCCCAGGCTTGTCTCAAACTCCTGTGCTCAAGCAGTTCTCCTGCCTCAGCCTCCCAAATTGCTGAGATTACAGGTGTGAGCCACCATGCCTGGCTAAATGTTCCTTCTTTTAAGATGCTCTCCTAGACAATAAAATAATTCCCACCCCTTAATGTGAATAAATTCCATCTAAAACATTAATATCTACTGAAGACTAAACCCCGGGCATTTTAAGTAAGGCCTGAAAGGTTGCGGAAAGAAGATTCCTAAGTGAATGAACCAGTTTGGAAGGGAGTCTTCGAACAGATATCCCAAACACACTTGGCAGATGACTACCAGATTGAAATAATGTTTTCATGCATGGATGCCAGAAGGATAAAATAAGGAGAACATGGGATTACATGAGTTTTTCAGAAAGTTAAATCTTCCATATCGTTTTTTTTTCTGAGATCATGTCATTAACTACTTTTTGTGTGTTAAAGCAGAATGATTTGATTTTAAAATATATATCATTACTTTACAGTACTAAAAGTGAGCAGCCCTCTGCCACTTTCTAAAACGTGGACTCATGTTATTTGTACATAAGATCTAGAACTGAGGAACCCAAGACTTCTAGAGAAGCATGAAGACACTCAGCGTCTGGATCTCATAGGGGGGGCTTATGGGAAGGATCCCATGAACTGCCACACCTCATGTTGGGGAACTAGTTTGGAAGACCACAGAGGTCAACTAAATTCATTTATTTTCTTTAAAAGAAAGGAGCAGACTATGTCTTTGCTGTCATTTTACAAAATGAGAAAATTATTAATGGAATCGCCCTTTTACGAGGCCCTGAGTACAAGAAATTCCAGGGATCTATCTGTTGCTCTTTGCGTGCTGTATGTGAAGACTGAGGTTTGCATGTATAAGCAAAGTGTCCATCGCTTTTCAAATATTTTCATTTAACAGGGCTCACTGAAATGTTCAAGACGCCGGTGAAGGAGGAACCACAGTTGATGAGCACGTATCCTGTCATTCCTTCGAATTCAGAGAATTCGCTTGGAAAAAAGTTTCCAGGTAACTAATTTAGGAGAACTTCTACTACCCACTTCAGAGAGTTTCATTTGTTTTCCTTTCGTCTGAACACTGATTTTTTTTTTTGGATAGGAACTTATGGATGATGTTATTTCTTTGCAACCGACATTGTAGTACTTCTCTACAACAAATTTTCCTGATATAATAATATTTGCATCTTCTGTTATAATGTTTAAAGGGGAGATTCTTATCGGCAGCTGAACTAAAACTGGCATTCATTGACTTACATAGACAGAAAGATTCAGTTCATAAGTTTAAATGACGTGTACACCTTTGGCTTCTTTATTTATAAGTAAGGAGGATGAGATAGAAAAATACGATAGCTCATCATCCATACATATAAATTATTCAAATTCCAAATGATAGCAAACTACAAAAAGTAAAGATAACAGTTTATACATTGTTCCTGCTGATCTTCTAGGTGGGCGCAGGCCCAGGATAAATGTGAGATGGGAGGTGGAGGAATCTGTCTGATCTCTCATTTGGTTCCAGCCACTGTGTTCCTCATGGAGGGAACAGTTTGTTACTCTGAAAACGCTTGCTGTAGTTAAATATTTCCTATGTAATACAGACCCTCACCGTACAAACTATGAACCATGTTATTTTGTTGGTGTTTTTAGGCAAGAAACAGCTATTCCTTTTAAATGTTTGAAGAACAAGATGTCTACATTGAGATCAATGACACAGAGCATGGCAGCCTTCAGAAAACACTTTTTCGAGGACTGTTTTTTTCCCCTTTGTGTAATCGCTGCAGAGCCCAATTTCCACTTAATAATGACCCCACTGTATTGCCACGTGTCACTATTCTTAAGTATGCAAGGCTCTTATGTCATACAGAGTTGTGTACACATAAGCAGCCTCACATTTTTCGTCAGGTATGGATAAAATACTAAATTGGCCTAAGACAGTAATAGAATTATTGTATTTGGTCTTATTTCTTACAGGAGAAAACATGTTCCTTAGTACTCAGAATTCAGCAGAAGAATCATCTGATAAACACTCTCCAAGCCCTACCTTAAGACGGCAGTCTATAAAAATAAATGAAAATACAGTGCGAACTCCCAGGAACATCTATAAAATGACTCATGTTGAGATGAAAACATCAGATGCGGAATCAGAGGCTTCAATGACAGTATCCAGTGCAAATAAGTTAAGAAGGTCCGTGGAGCTCAGAAATATACAGAAGTTATCTATAGAAAGTAAGCATGAAGAAACAAAAACTGACAGTTTTGAGAACATTGTAGGAAGATGGCTAAGAAAGACACCACTACGAGGAAACAAAGTAGATGGAGAGGTAAAAGAAATCAGAAGATCTTTTGAAACGTGTAAAGAAAATATGGACTCAAACGATTTTGAGAAGGTGACATCTGTGAGGAGATCAGGAAGAACTTGGGGGCAAAAAGGTGAACCAACATTTGACCTGACAGGCCTTCAAAGGATGCCTGACCCAGAGTCCACGAAAGACATGGCATGCAGCCCTGATCTCCAGACACCAGATCATAGCAAGGAAATGGTGAAAAACAGTGACAATATCACTAACATACCCTGCAAATCTCCACGACCAGAACCAGTCAAAACCCCAGCCAGCATGAAGAAGCGTATCAAGACGTCTCTGGGGAAAGTAGATGTGAAAGAAGAGCTTTCGTCACTGAGCAAGCTTGCACCAACTGCAGGGGAAGCCACGTACACACCTAAAGAACCAGTGGGTGATGATAAAGCCATCCAGGTGTTTTCAGAAAGTCCAGAACAGAAACTGCACCCAGCAGACTATGTCATTGGAGTGAAGAGACGGCCAAGAGCACCTAAGGAAAAGACCCAATCTCTAGATCTGGCTGGCTTCAAAGAGCTCTTCCAAACACCAAAACACACCAACAAGCTCACAACTGGTGACAAAATTGCTAACATGGCCAGTAAGTCTCTACCACAAGAATCAGTGGACACCCCAACAAGCATAAAGAGACAGCCCAAGTCATGTTTGAGGAAAATAGATGTAGCGGAAGAGCTCTCAGCACTGGGGAAGCTCACACCAACATCAGGGAAAACCACCGACACACACAAAGAACCAGCAGGTGATGGCAAAGGCGTAAAAGTCTTCAAGGAATCTGCAGAGCAAAACCTGGACTCAGCAGCAAGTATAACAGGCAGCAGGAGAAGATCGATAACTCCTAAGGAAAAGGCCCCACCCCTAGAAGACCTGGCTGGCTTCAAAGAGCTCTTCCAAACACCAGGTCACACTGGGGAATCAATGACTGTTGACAAACCCACAAAAATACCCTGGAAATCTCCGCAACCAGAACGAGTGAACACCCCAAGAAGCTCAAAGCGACAGCTCAAGACGTCTCTGGGGAAAATGCACGTAGAGGAAGAGCTCTCCGCGGTGAGCAGACTCAAAGCAACATCCGGAGAAACCACACACACACACAAAGAACCAGTTGGTGATGACAAAGACATCCAAGAGTTTAAGAAAACTCCAAAGCAGAAGCTACTCACAGCAGACTATGTCACTGGAGCACAGAGACTGCCAAGAACCTCTAAGGAAATGATCCAACCTCTAGAAGACCTGGCTGGTTTCAAAGAACTATTCCAAACACCAAAAGGCACCAACAAGTCCATAACTGATGACAAAAGAACTGAAATACATTGCAAAGCTCCACAACCAAAATCATCGGATACCCCAACAAATGCAAAGAGACAGCCCAAGACACCTTTGGGGAAAACAGATGTGGAGAAAGAGCTCTCAGCATTGAAGAAGTGCACACAAAGATCTGGGGGGAAAGGAAACACAGACAAAGTACCCACAGGCATCAAAGTGTTTAAGGAATCTGTAAAACAGACACTGGACGTGGCAGAAAATTTAACTGTCAGAAAGAGATTGTCAAGAACTCCTAAGGAAAAGGCCCAAGCTCTAGAAGACTTGACTGACTTCAAAGAGCTCTTCCAAACACCAGGCCACACTGAGAAATCAATGACTGATGACAAAATTACTAACACACCCTGCAAATCTCCACAACCAGCACCCACCAGAACGCCAAAAAGTATGAAGACACAGCTCAAGACATCTCTGGGAAAGGTAGATGTGAAAGAACTCTTAGCACTGAGCAAGCTCACATCAGCAGGGGAAACCACAAACACACATAAAGAAGCAGTAGGTGATCGCAGAGGCACCAAAGCATTTGAGAAATCTGCAAAACGAAAACTGGACCCAGCAGACTGTGTAATTGGAGGGAAGAGACAGTCAAGAGTAACGAAGGAGAAGATTCAATTTCTCGAAGACCTGGCTGGTTTCAAAGAGCTCTTCCAAACACCAAAACGCAACGACAAGCTAATGACTGGTGACAGAACTACTAACATAGACTGCAAATCTCCACCACAAGAATCAGTGGACACGGCAAAAAGCATAAAGAGACAGCCCAAGACATGTTTGAGGAAAATAGATGTAGCGGAAGAGCTCTCAGCACTGGGGAAGTTCACACCAAGATCAGGGAACACCACAGACACACACAAAGAACCAGTAGGTGATGACAAAGGTGTCACAGTGTTCAAGATATCTGCAGAGCAAAGTCAGGACTCGGTAACAAGGATAACGGGCAGCAGGAGAAGGTCAAGAACTCCTAAGAAAAAGGCCTCACCCCTAGAAGACCTGACAGACTTCAAAGAGCTCTTCCAAACACCAGGTCACATTGGGGAAACAATGACTGTTGACAAACCCACAAAAACACCCTGGAAATCTCCACAACCAGAACGAGTGAACACCCCAAGAAGCTCAAAGAGACAGCCCAAGATGTCTCTGGGGAAAATGCATGTAGAGGAAGAGCTCTCTGCAGTGAGCAAATTCACAGCAACGTCAGGGGAAACCACAGACACACACAAAGAACCAGCAGGTGATGGCAAAGATGTCAAAGTCTTCAAGGATTCTGCAGAGCAAAAACTGGACTCAGCAGCAGGGGTAACGGGCAGCAGGAGAAGGTCAAGAACTCCTAAGAGAAAAACCCCAGCCCTGGAAGACCTGGCTGGCTTCAAGGAGCTCTTTCAAACACCAGGTCACGCTGGGGAATCATTGACTGTTGACAAAACCATGAAAACACCCTTGAAATCTCTACAACCAGAACGAGTAGACTCCTCAAAGCGGCAGCCCAAGACTTCTCTGGGGAAAATGCATGTAGAGGAAGAGCTCTCAGCAGTGAGCAAACTCTCAGCAACATCAAGGGAAACCGCAGAAACACACAAAGAACCAGCAGGTGATGGCAAAGGCGTAAAAGTCTTCAAGGAATCTGCAGAGCAAAAACTGGACTCAGCAGCAGGGGTAACAGGCAGCAGGAGAAGGTCAAGAACTCCTAAGAAAAAGACCCCACCCCTAGAAGACCTGGCTGGCTTCAAGGAGCTCTTTCAAACACCAGGTCGCACTGGGGAATCATTGACTGTTGACAAAACCATGAAAACACCCTTGAAATCTCTACAACCAGAACGAGTAGACACCTCAAGAAGCTCAAAGCGGCAGCCCAAGACTTCTCTGGGAAAAATGCATGTAGACGAAGAGCTCTCTGCAATGAGCAAACTCACAGCAACATCAGGGGAAACCACAGACACACACAAAGAACCAGCAGGTGATGGCAAAGGCGTCAAAGTGTTCAAGGAATCTGCAGAGCAAAAACTGGACTCAGCATCAGGGGTAACAGGCAGCAGGAGAAGGTCAAGAACTCCTAAGAAAAAGACCCCACCCCTAGAAGACCTGGCTGGCTTCAGGGAGCTCTTTCAAACACCAGGTCACACTGGGGAATCATTGACTGTTGACAAAACCATGAAAACACCCTTGAAATCACTACAACCAGAACGAGTACACACCCCAAGAAGCTCAAAGCGGCTGCCTAAGATGTCTCTGGGGAAAATGCACATAGAGGAAGAGCTCTCTGCAGTGAACAAACTCACAGCAACATCAGGGGAAACCACAGACACACACAAAGAACCAGCAGGTGATGGCAAAGGCGTCAAAGTGTTCAAGGAATCTGCAGAGCAAAAACTGGACTCAGCATCAGGGGTAACAGGCAGCAGGAGAAGGTCAAGAACTCCTAAGAAAAAGTCCCCACCACTAGAAGACCTCGCTGGCTTCAAAGAGCTCTTTCAAACACCAGGTCACACTGGGGAATCGATGACTGTTGACAAACCCACAAAAACACCCTGGAAATCTCCACAAGCAGAAAGAGTGAACACCCCAAGAAGCTCAAAGAGACAGCTCAAGACGTCTCTGGGAAAAATGCATGTAGACGAAGAGCTCTCTGCAGTGAGCAAACTCACAGCAGCATCAGGGGAAACCACAGACACACACAAAGAACCAGCAGGTGATGACAAAGCCGTCAAAGTGTTCAAGGAATCTGCAGAGCAAAAACTGGACTCAGCATCAGAGATAACAGGCAGCAGGAGAAGGTCAAGAACTCCTAAGAGAAAAACCCCATCCCTAGAAGACCTGGCTGGCTTCAAGGAGCTCTTTCAAATACCAGGTCACACAGGGGAATCAATGACTGTTGACAAAACCATGAAAACACCCTTGAAATCTCTACAACCAGAACGAGTAGACACCTCAAAGCGGCAGCCCAAGACTTCTCTGGGGAAAATGCATGTAGACGAAGAGCTCTCAGCAGTGAGCAAACTCTCAGCAACATCAGGGGAAACCGCAGACACACACAAAGAACCAGCAGGTGATGGCAAAGGCGTCAAAGTGTTCAAGGAATCTGCAGAGCAAAAACTGGACTCAGCAGCAGGGGAAACAGGCAGCAGGAGAAGGTCAAGAACTCCTAAGAAAAAGACCCCACCCCTAGAAGACCTGGCTGGCTTCAAGGAGCTCTTTCAAACACCAGGTCACACTGGGGGATCATTGACTGTTGACAAAACCATGAAAACACCCTTGAAATCTCTACAACCAGAACAAATGGACACCTCAAGAAGCTCAAAGCGGCAGCCCAAGACGACTCTGGGGAAAATGCACGTAGAGGAAGAGCTCTCTGCAGTGAGCAAACTCACAGCAACATTAAGGGAAACCACAGACACACACAAAGAACCAGCAGGTGATGGCAAAGGCATCAAAGTGTTCAAAGAATCTGCAGAGCAAAAACTGGACTCAGCATCAGGGATAACAGGCAGCAGGAGAAGGTCAAGAACTCCTAAGAGAAAAACCCCACCCCTAGAAGACCTGGCTGGCTTCAAGGAGCTCTTCCAAACACCAGGTCACACCCAGGAATCAATGACTGTTGACAAAACCACGAAATCACCCTTGAAATCTCCACAAGCAGAAAGAGTGAACACCCCAAGAAGCTCAAAGAGACAGCTTAAGACGTCTCTGGGGAAAATGCATGTAGAGGAATTGCTCTCTGCAGGGAGCAAACTCACAGCAACATCAGGGGAAACCGCAGACACACACAAAGAACCAGCAGGTGATGGCAAAGGCATCAAAGTGTTCAAGGAATCTGCAGAGCAAAAACTGGACTCAGCAGCAGGGGTAACGGGCAGCAGGAGAAGGTCAAGAACTCCTAAGAGAAAAACCCCAGCCCTGGAAGACCTGACTGGCTTCAAGGAGCTCTTTCAAACACCAGATCACACTGGGGAATCATTGACTATTGGCAAAATCATGAAAACACCCTGGGAATCTCCACAACCAGAACGAGTGGACACCCCGAGAAGCTCAAAGAGACAGCCCAAGATGTCTCTGGGGAAAATGCATGTAGAGGAAGAGCTCTCTACAGCGAGGAAACTCACAGCAACATCAGGGGAAACCACAGACACACACAAAGAACCAGCAGGTGATGGCAAAGGCGTCAAAGTGTTCAAGGAATCTGCAGAGCAAAAACTGGACTCAGCATCAGGGATAACAGGCAGCAGGAGAAGGTCAAGAACTCCTAAGAAAAAGACCCCACCCCTAGAAGACCTGGCTGGCTTCAAGGAGCTCTTTCAAATACCAGGTCACACAGGGGAATCAATGACTGTTGACAAAACCATGAAAACACCCTTGAAATCTCTACAACCAGCATCAGTGAACACCCCAACAAGCTTAAAGCGACAGCTCAAGATATCTCTGGGGAAAATAGATGGGAAAGAAGAGCTTTCAGCAGTCAGCAGGCTCACACCAACATCAGGGAAAACCACGCATACACACAAAGAACCAGTAGGTGATGACAAGGGCATCCAAGTCTTCAAGCAATCTGCAAAGCGGAAATTGGACCCAGCAGCAAGCGTTAGTGTCAGCAAGAGACAATCAAGAGCTCCCAAGGAAAAGGCCCAACCCCTAGAAGACCTGGCTGGATTCAAAGAGCTCTTTCAAGCACCAGGTCAACCTGTGGAATCAAGGACTGAAGGCATAACCATAAAAATATCCCACAAGTCTCCACAATCAGGACTAGTAGACACCATAGCAAGCACAAAGAGAAGACCTGTGACACGTGTCAGGAAAGCAGATGTGAAAGAAGAGCTCTCGGCACTGAGATGCCTAAGGCAAAGGGGGAAAACCATGCACACAGACACAGGACCAACAGGTGACAATAAAAGCATCAACACATTTAAGGAATCTGCTGAGCAGAAACTGAGCCCAGCAGCAGGTGCCACTGGCAGCAGGAGAAGGCCAAGAGCACCCAAAGAAGAGGTCCAACCTCTAGAAGACTTAGCCGGCTCCAAAGAGCTCTTCCCAAAACCAGGTCAACCTGAGGAATCAGTGACTGGTGTCACAACCACAAAAATATCCTGCAGATCTCCACAACCAGAACTACTCGATACCACAAGAAGCACAAAGAGAAGGCCCGTGACACGTGCCAGGAAAGTCGATGTGTACGAGCCCTCAGCACTGAGAAGTCTAAGGCAAAGAGGGAAAGCCACACACATCGACAGAGAACCAGTAGGTGATGGTAAAGGCATCAACGTGTTTAAGGAACCTGCAGAGCAGAAACTGGTCCCAGCAGCGGGTGTTCCTGGCAGCAGGAGAAGGCCAAGATCACCCAAGGACAAGGCCCAACCCCTAGAAGATCTGGGTGGCTCCAAAGAGCTCTTTCAAGTACCAGGTCAACCTGAGGAATCAAGGACTGAAGGCATAACCACAAAAATATCCTGCAGATCTCCACAACCGGAACTACTCGATACCACAACAAGCACAAAGAGAAGGCCAGTGACACGTGTCAGGAAAGTAGATGTGAAAGAGCCCTCAGCACCGAGAAGTCTAAGGCAAAGAGGGAAAGCCGCACACATTGACAGAGAACCAGTAGGTGATGATAAAAGCAACAACGTGTTTAAGGAATCTGCTGAGCAGAAACCGGACCCGGCGACAGGTATCACTGGCAGCAGGAGAAGGCCAAGAGCACCCAAGGACGAGGCCCAACCCTTAGAAGATCTGGCTGGCTCCAAAGAACTCTTTCCCAAACCAGGTCAACTTGAGGAATCAGTGACTGGTGGGACAACCACAAAAACATCCTGCAAATCTCCACAGTCAGAACTAGCAGATACCACAACAAGGACAAAGAGAGTGCCCACGACACGTGTCAGGAAAGTAGATGTGGAAGAGCCCCCGGCACTGAGGCAGCTAAGGCAAAGAGGGGAAGCCACACACGCAGACAAAGAACCAGGGGGTGACAATAAAGACATCAACATGTTTAAGGAACCTACAGAGCAGAAACCGGACCCAGCGGCAGGTGTCACTGGCAGCAGGAGAAGGCCAAGAGGACCCAAGAAAGAGGCTCAACCCTTAGAAGACTTGGCCAGCTCCAAAGAGTTCTCCCCAAAACCTGGTCAACCTGAGGAACTGACCCGTGATGCTGATAGCCTAAAGAGCACTTCCGAGCCAACACCTGACAGTGGGAAACCTCCGCAAATATCCAGAAGGGTCCTTAGGGCCCCTAAAAGAGAGCCCGAGCAAGACTCCATAGGCACCAGAGACCTTGTAAAATTACAAACCAAAGGCAGCAGCTCCCTGCCCTCCACGAGGAGATGCAGAAAAGATGGGAGCGTCGCCAGAACCAAGAGGCCGCATAGTGTGACTGCTCCAGAGGAAGTCGTGGAGATGCCAGTCAGCAAGAAACTGAGGTCTGCTCCAAAGGAGAGATGCACATCCCCTGGACCCGAGATAATCATGAAGAAAAGTCTGAGAGCTCCTGCAAAAAGGGTTGAACGCGAGGAAGATCTGAACAGTGGCAACGTGAAAACCCAGAGAAAGAAACACAAAGTAGGCGACTCAGCCACTCCAAATAAGGTGAGGGGGGAAGCGTTCCATAATCATTGCATGTCATTTTGGATAGAGGTCGATTTTTGTGTAATGTATATGTGACCTAAATGTATACACATGTCCTTTCCCAAAGGGTTTAGTACAACTCGAGGAATAACTGCAGACCATGTTCAATAATCTTTTTGGGATCTATGGAGGGAATAGACTAACTTAGAAACAGACCTAGTCAAAATGATTAATACAGCCTTTAGGAAGAGTTTCTCAACGACCAAATGAGTTGTGTTCATCTTCAAATGTTTGAACGATTGATCTGGGAAAATGTGAGCAGTTCAGTACTATGTTCCAGACACTATGAGCCAGATCAGGCCTGGGAACAAATACTAATTTGAATAATTAAAACAATATGTCTAGGAGTACATATGCTTGAGAAGAACGTGACAGTTGGACTGTTAGATAGAGAGGTTACTACTGCCCTCAGAAGTTTGGAAAAACTCCAGAATTGGGAATTTCCTATTCGGCTTTTAGCAGTGATTGTTCAAGGATTAAGAATTCTCTTACTGCCTGTATAATAGGACATTTTTCTACAGTGTGAACTGTAAAAATTAGGTTTGGTATTATCACGTTAGGCACTGTTATTGCAATTTATCCTGAATTCCTTATTAATACTTTGTCAGTAGAGATGATCATTTTTCCATAGGAGCAAAGTACAAAGGCATAACTTTGAATGTCTTAGTCGACAAGTATCTTAGACAATTAACCAGTGTAAAAATTTTAAATGATTTCTCCTTTCAGTTTCTGTTGGCTGTTGTTTTCCTGTTGAATTTTGAGGTTTGTTTTACTAATTACAGAACTGGGGTGGATGTCTTCTTATTTTTTTAGGGAGTGTCCCTGCGCTCCAGACGCCAAAATAAAACTGAGGTAGGACAGCAAAGAACTGAGGTACTTACCTCAGCGGGAGAAATGAAAACAAAGAGAAATGAAAACAAATCCATGAAATCCTCCCAAGAGATGGAGATTCAAAATCCAGAAGATGGAGCCAGGAAGCCCACACCTAGAGACCAAGTCAGTGAAAACAAAAGGCGCTTGCGATCTGTTCGACAAAGTAAGACCTCCCAGCCTCATGTAGCAGAGGACAAAGGAGGAGAAGGAAGTGTGGGAATCCACCTGGTGAATTGGGAAGAGCAAAGAGGAAGAGGAGATCCAGACACCACATGTTTGAGATCAAGAAAGGCTAAAACGCAGCCCGGAGCAAACAATTTGGAACGTGAATCTGAACAGAGAGCAGCACGGAATGCCAAGAGGTGTGCGGAAAATCCAAAGAAGGTAAGTCATTTACTGGTTTCTTTATTAAAAAACAGAATGTTCTGAGATATTTTTGCCCAGTGCCGCAAAGGCAGACAAGGAGCATTGTGTAACCACACGCTGCCAGCTCCCCGAAACACCAACAGAAAGAGCATTGATCTAAGCCATATAGTTTGCATTTTAGTTCAATTTGATTATGCCTGTTTGGGGAATTCTTCAATAGCAAGTTCACATTATGAAGACTTCATGTAGGAATTCATCTAGTTATTGCTTGTGTGTGTGTGTGTGTGTGTGTGTGTGTGTGTGTGTGTGTGTGTCTCACTCTGTCACCCGGGCTGGAGTAAGCCTTGACCTCCCGGGCTCCAGCGATTTTTCCATCTCAGCTTCCCAAGTAGCTGGGATTACAGGCACATGCCACCACACCCAGCTAATTTTTTTTTTTTCATTTTGATAGAGATAAGGTCTCATTCTGTTGCCCAGGCTGGTCTCAAATTTCTGGGCTCAAGCAGTCCTCTCTCCTTGTTCTCCCAAAGTGTTGAAATTGCGGGTGTGAGCCACCTTGCCTAACCTAGCTATTGTTTTCTGACTTCACACTACCATTGTAGGTAAATATCTGCAGTCTTTCTAAGTTCAAAAAAATGTATTAAAGTGGTCATGTACAGATTTCCAAAGAGTTCTTTGGAAAGGGAGAAGGAACAAAGTTTGAGTGTGTCCCTAAAACAGCCATTGTGTAGTGGCAAGTGCACCTGTTGTCTCACCCTCCCCCAGCCAAAGAGTATCTAAATTAATGAAATGTAAGCGCTGCTGAAATGACATCAGATTTATCTTCTCATGAATTATCATACGAGCAAATCCGTAATACGTGATTAAATTCAATTAGTGTTCTCCTTGGGAATACTTAGCTTACCTGGTTTAAAATAGAGATCGTTGAATTGCTACCTTTTTTGTAAGTGGCATAAATTTGATTCTTAGCACACATAAAATTTGAACCTAAAATTGCAACATTCTGTGTTCAGCAGATGAAACAAATATAACTTCTTCAGATACAGAATTCTGGCAAGCTCTCTCCAGAATAAGCTAGGAAGCTAGAACCGAGATTGCCAGGAAGATGAAAGATTCCCTGTTGCCCCCCTGTATGTGCTATACAGTCAGGATCCAGCTGAGCAAGGTCCTAATGGGGAGATATCCACAGATTGTTCCAGAGAGGGAGGAAGAAAAGCTCAGAAGGACATCGATGCCCACACGGATGTCATAAGTCCTAGATTGCCGTGGGGGGGGGGGGCTAGAAGCAGACGACATCTTGCACTACAAGACAAAATCCTGGAGACCAAAAGGACACCAGGAACTCCAATGGCCAATGTGCGTCGACACTTTCACACGTCCAGCTTGAAGATAAAATTCAGGCTCTAAACACTAATTTCACAGTCTGGAAAACAGTACTTTATTAGAGAGAACTTCAGGGAATAAAGACAAACATCCTTATAACAAGGACGATCCCCGAACACAGCAGCCAGGCCCCATGACTGAGCCAGGCCTGGTGTGTCCTTTGGCGTTCAGGCCTCTTTCTTCTCACCCCAGAGGCTCCACCACACACTGACATGCTTCTCTATTGCTGGGTCTGAGTATGAGAGAAAGGCCAGGAGATGCATATGTAAGACGTATTTTCCAAGAACTTGCTTATCATTTCACCAGCTTTTCACCTTGGTTTCTTCCCCCAGCTGCAAGTACACACACTGGCTTTCCTGAGAACAGGAAATGCTGGCCGAGTAAACACTATTTTGTGTGCGGTGCCTGACATTCAGGCTGAGGAAGGACCACGAGATGAGGCGGTCTAACTAAGAGCCAGTGTTATGGCCACAGCTCTCGCACCCGTGAACCGACTGCTTGCAAATGACTGTCTGGTTTGGTGCCTTTTCTACTGAAAAGGTAGAAGAGATTTGTTTGCTGTCTTCTAGAACAGTGGTAATGACACTGACCTGAATTCACATCTAGATCTCACTAAATGTTACTACCACCCTCAGAGTCCTGAGGGAGTAGCTGCAGAGTGGGTGAAGTGACCTCTTGCCCATGCTCTGTGGTCAGCCCAGCCAATGAGTCAGAGGAGCAAGCCTTCCTTTTATTAGCCTGTATATTACCACTGTAATGCGGTTTTCATACTTGACTGCCACCTGATGGCATGTGGTCTGACATTCTGCCTTTCCAGAATGAATTCTTACGGGGAATATTTGGGTTGCACTGTAATATGGCAGTCCTGCCACACTATATAAAACTATGTAAGATCATTTGCATCCAAACTCATTCTTGAAATTTTTGCATTCTTGTCTTTTGTTTTTCTAATTATCCCCTCCCCTACTGCCAGTGTTCACTTGGCCAAATTGTTTCTAATGTAAACCCACCAGCACCTTGAGCCTTTTCTCACTGGCTGTTGGGACTGTACTAAGTAGGAGAGCAGACACCAAGGCTTGGGGCACCCGTTTTGAAAAGGCAAGATCAGCTCTCATCTGCATTAGATCTGATGCAAAATGGGGATGGAAAAGTCTCCATCTCCCAGGCTACTCAGAAGCAAACACTGTCCTGCATAAGTGACACACCAGGTCACCCTCAGAGTTGAGTGTTGACCTCTTCACGGGGATAGTTTGGTTAAGGAGACGCAAAACAATCTTTGTTGAATTCACTTTTTCTGATTGGCATTTTTTAATTAGGAAAAATGTGTACATTAGTGAAGAAATTCTTTTTGAATTATGTATTAGCTTAAAAATACATTAGAAACCGTTTTGTGAAAAATACAGCATTTAAATGTAAAGGAATGAATAATTAAAAGTTCAAGAAAAAACAGCTCTTATGAGATATATCTTAAAACATGTTTCCAACCTCAAAATTAATTTTGTATGACTAAGGATCTGTTACAATACCTGACAAGGATTTAGGGCTTGCAGAGGAGGGCTGATGACACAGATGTTTCTTTAAATTACTTAAGAGTTCTGATTTTTCTTCCCACACAGGATGAGGACGTTGTGAGCGTCAAGAAAATAAGAACCAGACGTCAGCGGGGCAATGAAGATATTTAACAACAAAGTTTACGCTGGAAAAAATATAATAAAGTTAATTTTGTGATAATCTCGCATAATTTTTGCCACCAATTTAAAAGCGAATTCTATCAGTGATGCTATCAGACTGTTTAAGGAAAGAAAACTTATCTTCTGAGTCTAAGTAGGCTTCAGAAACCCCACAGGGAGCTCATGAGGTAGATAGCTGAGTCCTGGAGTGAGAAATCTTTAACACGATGTGGTCTGGCAGAGGAGTTTGGGCCAAGGTTGGCCCTCAGCTTTACAAACTAAATCCTTGAAGGTTGGCACTTTCTACAGTTATCTACATCAGCCTAAACTGCAGCCCTCACCACACTGTCATTGCCAATGCATTGGCCTGTGTCCCCCATCAGGACATACAGATAGGAACTTCTATCCTTATCTTTCCCAGTACTGAGCAATTACTTGGGAAACATTAATGAATAGATGAGTGGAACTTACTAGATCTATCTTTACAGTGGACAGGGGCACTGGTTCCCATACTAAGATTACTGGTCATCTGCACAGGACAGTCCAAACCATGGTGTACTTCCCTCATGAGAATGAAATTGTGGCTTGGAGAAGGACTTGTGAACACATCTTCGGGGACACAGGGTGATTATATTTAGGGAATGACTAGGGGCTTATCTTTTTTTGATTAACAGGAATCCTTTGCTAATCTAGAACTGCTCTTATCCATCTACAAAGTCTCAGGGCCGTCAGCTAGCATGCCGTGAAATTCCCAAATGTTATACCAATCTTAGTTTCTGTCTTAGTCCATCTTGTGCTGCTGTAACAATACCTGACACTGAAAAATGTATAAAGAACAGTTCTTACAGTTCTGGAGCTGGGAAATCCAAGATCAAGGGACTCACAACTGGCCAGGGTCTCTGTGCCCTGTCCTACCATGGTGGAAGGCAAAAAGGCAAGAAGAGAGCATGAGAGAAAGAGGGAGACTCCTGTTTTTATCAGAACCCCACTCCCACAAAAAGGACATTCATCCATTCATGAGGACAGAGCCTACATGACTTAATCACCTCTTAAAGTTTCCACCCTCCAACACTGCTGCATTGGAGATTATGTTTCCAGCACATGAAATTTGGGGATACATTCAGACCATAGCAGCTTCTGCTCTTGTGACGTGTACATTTCCTGAACTTTGACTAGAACTGCTCCCCACTGGTTTTTTTCTGACTGCAGCAGGAAGTCTTAATGTCACCTGGTACAGGGAACAACACTTACATTCTGCAAAGAATCACTGTAGAGAGACCAAGCAAGCAGCTCCTTCAACTGCAGCTGCAGGAGCATTACTTGCTAGCTCTGAAATCCCATCTGAAGCTCAGACTTCTTTCTTGAGTTTCAGGCCCATACATGTAACTTCTTTTATCTTCTTCCCTGTTCCCCAGATCAAAAAATACCCCTCCCTTTCTCCAGTCACCTGTCTGGACTCCTCATTCACTCATCTTGCCAGGTTGAGGAGGAGATGGCAGTGTTGGCAGGACAGCTGTCTCGGTGTGTGCCCCGTGTCCCTCAACCCTTACGTCTCTGGTGTGGCATGGGACCAGGAACACATAAGTGTTAGCTGAGCGAATGCAGCAGAGATCTAAGCCTGGCTGAATCAGTGCTAGCTACTTTCGCTATTTTGGTTGCTTGTAACAGCATTCTGAACTGTGTTGTCTGTGATCAAAGGCAGAGTGGCAGACTCTGCTTGAAGGAGAGTGTAAAAAGCGGCAGGGAGGGGACATTCGAGGGTCTTCACAGGGCCACAAAGGGCCCTGGTATTGCACCAGAGCAGAAAGGGGGCATTCAAAAAACAGAAACTTTAGAGAGGGCATTTGGTGGAAGACATGAGGCATACATGTTTCCTTTTAAGTAGGCCAAATTCAGAACTTTAAAAGTAATAGTAGCCAGGCTCGGTGGCTCAGGCTGTAATCCCG